AAAACAGTTTGTCCTTTGCACCCTGGACGCTTGCACCTCTGCCTCACACCATGTGCCGGCCAGTGACCAACAGAGTCTGTGCGAACATCCTGAGTTGGCACAGGCTTAGCAGGTCCCCTCTTCTTCTTGCGCTGCAGCTCTGCCTCCATACTGGTTGATGGTCTGCCACGCTTCTTTGCTGTCATGTCTTTGCCTTCACGACAAAGAGCATCAGCTATTTCAAGCTTGAAGGCCATAAGATCCTTCTGCTGACGCTTATCAACTCCCATATCACGACAATCCCGGCGATACAGTAACCAGCCAGTTGCCACTGCCAAGTCCACAAAATGGAAAAAAAAGCGGTGGTAATATTTCTTTGATTTCAAGTGGATCCGATACCTCGCCATGATGGCATCCAGGGTATCAACTCCTCCCATGAACTTGTTGTAGATCTGTATGATTTCTGGGCGTGGCACGTCAATATGCTGCTTTGTAGTACGATCCCACCGCCTCGCAGTTGACACTGGTTCTGCACTAGCAAATGTACTGGCTAGTGTTACAGACTTGTTGTCAAACCACTTGACAACTCGAACTTCGACACCATTGACCACACCCTCTCTTTCTTCAAATGAGCCACGCCCTTTCTTCTTCAGAGTTGCATCAGCAATCATCTTGCAATTCTGAAGACGATTCGCACGAACTGTCCCAACTGCTAATATGTTCCTATTAGCTAGGGCTGACAGCAACTTCAGTGACGTAAACCAATTGTCAAAAAACAACAGGTACTGCTTCTCTTGCGGCAAGACCTCGACCAGCTGAAGCACAATGTTGCCACTGGCACCAATCTTTGCTTGATTGGATGCTGCCTGAATCTTTCCAGTGTATATTATGAAATTATGCACAATTCCAGTCACATCACACAGCATAAACACTTTATAGCCCCATTTGTAGGGCTTGCTCGGAATGTACTGTTTCATTCCCGACTGTCCCTTGAATGGGATAATTTGTTCATCCACTGACAACTTATGGTCAACTTCCAGTGAATGGAACTTTGGCAAGAGAGAGTCAATCAACGGACGTATTTTGAACAATTTATCTCTCTGAACGTCATCTGGAGCAAGCATATTTCCATTGTCGTTGAAGTGAAGATTACTTTTCAGTTCAACCCACCTGTCACGTGACATCACATCTGCAACCTGTGACAAACGCGATGCTTTGCCCCAGTACATCTTACTTCTTGGCAGATTAAAAATAGACATGTACATAGTCATACCAAGAAACTGTTCAATTTCATCCTTGGAACAACCAATAGGCTTATTTACATCTTTTTGTGTTGCATACAGATTGGTGTGATCAGTAATGTGTTCCACCAACCCACTGTCAAAGAAGTAACGAAAGTACTCCACTGGCGACTTTATGGTATCAGCAGAAGCACGTTGATCAGCAGACTCTGGCATTGACTTTGCAGATGATTGGCCAGTAACACATTTCCAAACAGTAGATCTTCCAACAGCAGCAGAAGTGGAAGGCTGCTCATTATCGCTGCTGTCTTGCTGGTCAGATACTTCGTATTCTTCTGTATCGTCACCAGATGATACTTCAGCAACTTCATTGTCACTCGACGAGAGCTCATCATCATCACTTTCTGCAGGAATGTTACGAACAAAACGAGCTGTTGTAGCAGTCTTCTTGTAGAACTGAACAGGCTTCATCTAAAATCAGAATACAATTTATGCTATGATTAGTATTGGTATCTAGTATTATATATCACTATGTTTGCAATAAAAAATACAAAAAAAATATAAAATATGCACAGATACAAAAATAATATCAATATCACTACTAACAGAACAATCATTATAGCAAATACTATATCACAAATAATAATAGTAATAATATTACAAATCATAATATAGCCCAAACTTGCCCTAATTACTAACTCTAGCCTAACCCTAAGTCGCACCTCAGACACTCTATAAAAGTATAGCAGATATAATTGGTATCTATAAGAACACTAAACAAATATATAATAACTATACTAAAACATGGCTATGATACTATTGTAGCTGCTTGTATTACCAGCAATAATAATAATAATATTAGTAATAAATTATTATTATTATTACTACTATTAGTATTATAATTATTATTCCTAGTAGTAATAAAATTGAACACTATTATGAACATGGTAAAATATAAATATATTTCACCATAACAAATCATAAACAAATAATCTGTCATTCCAGCATGTTATATCACACAATACTAAGCTGAAGAGTGTCAATTTTGTATCTGTTATATTCAATGCTATGCCCGATTGTGTATAATTCCACACATACAAAAAACACCACATAAAAATTTATTCCTGCAATCCAGCTACAAATTCAAGGTACTACTATACAAAGACACCACTACTACATAAAATCCATAACATTTCATGGTTATAACTAACCTGTATAACTCGGAATAGTCAGGTCTTCCGTCTCGTAGTAACACCGTAGACCTTCTCACAAAATCCCTGTAAACAAAGCTCGAGCCAAGAATCCAAAGTAAGAACGTCATTGGTTCAACGATTTTATCGTCATCCTAGGTATGTGTACAATACGCGACAACCGGTCATAACGTTCTAAACGCCACTGCTATTAAAGCAGCGCGTGGATCTCGGTATGTGTAAAATTCTACACAACCGGCCAGAAAGGGTTAAACACCCGACACCAAAACATTTCTGTGTCATTTTGTGTCGATCAACCTCGAAATTTTGATAAAACGGACATTTTCAAAAAGTCCGTTATAATGAAAGCTTTGCTTAATTCGACAATATATAGACCCTTTCAGAGTCTGAGTTTACGGGATTCCACTGTAATTTAGAATGAAATTTATACTTGGAGTATTAAACATCCCTAATTTTTTGTTGGAAGTGGTTTGTAATATTAACATGTATTTTTTTCTCATTCTTTTTTTTGATTGCCTTTAATTCTAAACATTTATACATTATAATAATATCGCCAGTCACAAAAGAAATAAAATCTTTTTTCTTTAATTTCATTTAAGAAAGTTTGTACTTTATTATTTACTTAAACAGTTTATTTGTACTTTATTATTTATTTACACAATTTAAAATCAAAAAAAAAGGTTTTTTGTATATTATTCCAACTTGCAGAAGTTTATAGGGTTAGAGAAGACGTGGTTCATTCGGAGTAGGGGGTGAGCTGCAACTATGAACTTTTACGCCGACATACAAACAATTTTTTAATATAAACAAGTTAGGAAAGTTTTTGAATCAAATAAGTTGTAAAAAATAAGTTTTTGCTTAGACTTTAGAGACTCGTACACATGAAATTTTTTTTATCATTTTTGGTATTATTAACTGTAATTTTGTATTATTAAAGATAACAAAATAGTTTAAATATAACAAGTTGTATTTTATATATTTTAAGAGTGCATCTTTATTGAGTGCAATGGAATAAATAAACTATTCAAGTATGCACTGATAAATATGAGTTTGTTGGAACATTGTGATTGTGGTTTGTTGGAACGTGGAAGTTTTAAGGCGTCTCTTATATTCCTTCGATTATTGCTTATAAAATATATTTGTTATTTTATAATTATCCACACTGGCAAGCTAAACTTGAGTTTAAATTAAGAATCGTAATATTCAGTATTTATTTTCTGTCATTTAACATTTTCGCTACCACACGTTTTTGATAGCAGCTTGTTTTTTTATTAATTTTGACTTTTTAATATTTTTTAGTTAATAAAAAAATGGATTTCAACTTTTATCAGAAACAAAGTAGCAAAAGAAAAGAAGAGAGACAAAAACTGCAAAAAAAAGGTGCAAGAAGTACTTACACAAATTATACCAATAAAATGTCTTTGCTTTAAAAGACTAAATTATTAAAAAAAAACGGGAGCCAAAAAAAAAAAAAACTAAAAGCAGTGAAAAATCTGCATTAACCAAGATTAGCGAGCAAGAAACATTTGCATATGTTATATATATATATATATATATATATATATATATATATATATATATATATATATATATATATATATATATATTAGGAGACGCAAATATGATACATATTAGCGTTTCCTAAAAAGACCTAAACTAATTCCCTAATTCCTCTCCCCCCCTGCCCACCCTAAATTCCTGGATCCCTCACTGTATATAAATATGCTTTATTCTACAAATTAACTTCAAAATTAAAAATAACATCTAGTTTTATCTAGAGCCGTCAAATAACGACCCTATCTGTTACGAGAGAATGGATGTATAATTATTTTTATTTATTTTTATTTTTTAATCAATCAGAAATTTCTTTATATAATGCATAAAAAACAAAAACATAGTGAAAAAATTATTCATTTTTTAATAATGAAAGATTTTTGTATTGATTTATATATAACTCCTACAAATCAATACATTTTATTTGCTCGCATAACATTTGGAATATATGTAAATCGTACAATCTATACATTTTTTTTTTCACAATACAAAAAATGTGAACTTCATAGGACGTCATTTCTCTAATAACTTATTCTTTTTGTGGATACTCTTTTACAAGATAAACGTATTCCTACGATAATCCTGGTTCATGATTCAATTTAGAAATCGATCCCAAAATAAACTTGGTGTATTTCGGTAAATTGGATTATAAAGTTATAATGAACTTATTTTTACTAAGTAAAAATTGTGAGAACTTAAAGCTAAGCGAACATTTATAAGATAGTTAACAAAGCAAACATCAATTAACTATTTTTTCGCGCAAGAACAAATTTATAATCTTAATAATTAAATATATAAATCTAAATAATAGTCAAACGATTTTCCATAGTAGCCTTTATATATTGGCATTTAAAAAATTATTGACGTTAAGAAGTTTTAATTATTTAGATTGCAACTGCCAATGATTTTACAAATTATTTAAAATTTGTCAGCTATTTTATTTTTGTCAAAATAGGATGTTTTTGCGTTTATGACGTACCAGTTATAACTTCTGAATTATTTTTTCCCCCGATTTTTGCAATTTTTATAGATATAAGTGTTCTATGTTCACAACACTAATTATGCACTTTTAAAACACGTGTCCTTTAAAAAACTTTATAAACAGCGGTCACATTAACGAGGTGCTCTATCCACGCACGTGTGTTGTATCTTAACTGGGGATCAATAATGCCAAACATAAAAATCTTTAGTGGAAGTTCACATCCTGAGTTAGCTCGTCTCGTCGCTGATCGTTTAAATTTAGAGCTTGCTCGTGCCAAACTAAGAAAATTTGCAAATAAGGAAACGAGGTATTATTTTTTTTTTGTTCACATGCTTTTTTGAGTATGGGTTCAGATTAGAGCTGAAAACCTAGTTGTTTATTGTTTAAAAGACTTAACTGAAATAATAATTTATCATATTTTCTTATTTAATCACTTTTCATAGAAATTTTTGCTTTAGTGGGTAATGTTTGTTTTATAATACAATTTTACAAGAAAATCTTGTAAAGTATATATCTCATAAACCGTATAATTATGGTTATAAAAACTGTAGTGACCTTCCCAGCCTTGGGGAGGTGATTAGCATTAAAAAGAATTTTATATATATATATATATATATATATATATATATATATATATATATATATATATATATATATATATATATATATATATATAAAATTCTTTTTATATATATATATATATATATATATATATATATATATATATATATATATATATATATATATTTCTTTATATTAACACTTAAATAAATAAATAACAATAACAAACAATTAATTAATTAAAAGAAGATTAACATATAGAGGTTAATGAAATAATAGTAATACGTATTAAAAAAAAACATAAAAAAATATAACATACATTATAAAGAAAATATGAAGCACAGTAATAAAACTAATTTAAAAAGTATAATTATTTTAGACTACTAAACTAAATATTTAGTCAGTTACACTTAAGGAAATTTTAGTGATTTATTTTCTTTGTGAAAAGAATACCAAATACTTTTTTTACCAAATTTAGACAAATGCTTATGCTCTCTTTGCTATATTATAAAGAACAAAATTATCTGTCTGGAATTGTTTAAAGCACATAAACAACACAAGCTTTCTTCCTGTTCACATATACGATTTTTTATGTGGAAAGGTTGAAGGCATATAATAGTAATGAGCATGATTAATGAGCTCGCTACTTTTTTTCATTTTTTCATTTATATGAGAATAAAAAAAACATGTTCATTTACAATAAAGAGAATAACAAAAGTGAGATGCTATAAAAAAATATGCAGACGTTTTTAAACATTAAAAGTTTTTAAAACTATGTTTTAATTTGGAAAGCCTTAATATTAAATATTTTGCTTATGATAATGTGGATAAGACTTATTTGATGTGTAGAATAATAGAAGCAAATGAAAATGTGCAAATTGCCTGTTAACATGGCTTAGGCAATTCTTGTAGAAAAAATGACCTTATTATTAAAAGAAAAAAAAATACAGTTACCACTGCTATTTTTATCAAAAAAAGGATGTTAAAAACAAAACATACCATTAACATACAATTTTATTGAATTAAAAAACTAAAAAATCTAACTTTGCTTTATCATATTATTGAATTGTTGATTAGGTGTTATCATGGCTATGTAAAAATATGTCACGATATCAGTCATAAAACTTATTTTGTACTTTGCTTTTTATTATTACTTTAGAAGCTCTCTAATGAGTTCTGTAATGGTTTCCCATGAGAGCTATTCTATACAGATAATTTCTGCTTAATTGCAGAGACAGAAGAAAAATTAATACTAAGATTTCATCATTGGAAAGATGGAATAAAATAAAAGAGCTCAGGATAAAAATAGTTTTTTAATAATATTTTCTAAATTTTTTAATAATATTTTTAAATTTTTTTAGGTGGAATGCTTTAAAATGAAGTGACAATTTTCTTATAACAATTGTTCATGTTTATTCTGAGCTTATTTATTTTTATTTTATCTTTCCAATACTGATATCTTAATATCAATTCTTCTTCTGTCTCTGCAATTAAGCAGAAATTATCTGTATAGAATAAAATCTTTTTAAATGAGCAAATACTTGTTTAAAAAATTTAAAAACATAAAAAAATACTTTAAAACTGTAAAAACCTTACTTAAATAATTTATATTTATTATAAAAATATATGCTTGTTTCAATAAAAAAAATTATATAATATCATTTGGTAATTTAAATAACATGTGTTTATTTTACATAAGCCTTAGGAATTTTAAAAATTACTTTATTAAAAGGGTTTACATAATATAAAAATTTTAGAAAAGATTCAAAATTATTCCAATGTAGTTTAAAACAATTTTTTCAGCATATTTCTTAAGTGTTTCTAAACAGCTGTAAGTATATCTAAACAACTGTTGCCAGGTTTTAGAAATTATATATCATATGCGTGATCAGGAATAGTGTAGACTTGTGCACCATTTCTGTACAAGCCTACATTTCAAGCTTAATTAGCGACAATGATATTCAAAGTGTTTCATTCTAAAAATCAATTTTGGCTGCAACTAAGGACCAGCGAAGTTGACTTTTTAAGACCTGAATTTATATTGAAGGTGAATTTGTGTGTACCCCAAATTTAACTGAAAATATCAAGTGTGCACCCCTAATTTAACTGAAAGAAGAATTCGGACTTTTAAATCGAATTTAATTAGCTTATCAAACATTATATTATATGTATAAACTAATGTTTATATTATGTGTATATTATAGTTATGTTTACAATATTATTAATCAAAATTTTTATAAATTAACAAAAATTAATATACTTAAAAAATAAGTTCACATGGGTGACTAACTTTTTTTGTGAAAAACATACATAACATTATAATATAAACTTAACTTTCATGCAAACAATAAAAGTACATAATTAAAAGTAAATAATTTGAATTATTATTTTTTTATAAATCAAAATTTTTATTTTTTAAACAAAATCTTTATAATTAACCATATTTCAAAACATGATAAAAAAAAAATAATTTGTGTTGAAACAAAAATCTAAAATCTAAAAATGTAATAATAATGAGAAATCAAGTTATGCAATCTTTACAACTAATAAAATTTCTAAAAGAACATTAACAAAAGTACAAAAACAACTTTCATTAAAAAATTTTTAATGTCAATTTTGTAAATGAAAAAATTTGTGATAAAAATTATGTTAAGGTATTTGTTTTACCTTAAGGATTTTTTTAAAGCTGTAAATAATATTAAATAAGTGATAAATAAAGTTTTGCGCCCTTTTAAGCCTTATTGAAGATTTTTTTGGTTAATGATTTTGTATGACACCTTTATTTATAATCAGGGTTGGCATTAAAAAATCAGCCTAATAAAATTTTTATAACCGACATATCTGAAAACATAAGCATATTACAGTAGCTTGCTATGAAAAGAGTTTCAATTCAAATACAATATTATTTTTAATAAAAACATTTTTTACAATGATAGCCATTCCTGACGATTTTTTTATAATTTAAATATTGAAATATAATTGATGTCATTGTATAGAGCTTAACTTGACTTTAAACATAAGGGGTCATTCAGAATAACTTTTGAACCGTTAATACATTTGACTTGAAATTTCCCATAATGACCCACCAACTATTAGAAAATAAAATTCCAAATTTTTTTTTTTTTTAATCTGTTGGGATTGTCCAGAATCACCTATTTTACAGACTGAGAGTTTATACTAATTTATATATTTTTGGGTCATACTAACTTTTTAATAACTTGAAATTTTTTAACTATAAGAAAATAGTAACAACTATAAGAAAAAAACCAAAATATTTTTAAAGAAAATCTGTCAGGATTGACCAGAATTGTCTATTTTACAGCCTGAAGGTTTTCATATTATTTTCTTATTTTTGAAGAATAAAATTTGGAGTCATGTTATGTTACCATGCAAATATGCTTAAAGAAATCATGGAATCCAAAAAAAACATCATTTAAAAACTATTGCATAATTTACAGAACGGCAGTGAAATAAACTTCTACCCAAATATCTTCTGGAACAAATTCTAGAGAATTTGTTCTTGAAAATGTTTCTGCTTCTAAAAGTTTATTTTTGATTTAAACTTGAAAACTGCTAATGATGTTTTTTCAAGCTCTGTTATTCAAATTTCTATTGTAGACAAGTCTTTATCAAGTCTGATGATTGTCTTCTTGAAACTCAAGTTATGAATAGAATCTCCCAGTTTCCAATTTGGATCATCAACTAACTTTAATATCTGGCGATTTGATTAATCGCCTTAAATTTCCTGAATTAATCACCTTCATTTACAAAATAGACAAAAATAGAAAATGTAATGAATTTAAAATTAAATATCAAGCAGTCTTGTCAAAATATAATTTTCAGAAATGTCAACAAAAGATATGTTAAACAGATGTTAGAAAGGATTGTAAGATTAACCAATTAAACCAAATTAAATCTTATTAAGGATGTGAATAAGAAATAATTCAAGAAATATAATAAGAATTATTTCTTATTTTATATCCCTAAGATTATTTCTTATTCACATCCTTAAATTTAGGCTTAATAAGGATATGAATAGGAAATAGTTAATAAGGGTTGATAAGGCTTATTAAGTCTTAATAAGAATTATTTCTTATTCACATCCTTATTAAGCCTTAATTTAAAAATAAGAGAAAATAAGAAATAATTTAAGGGTGTGAATAAGAAATAATCCTTAATAAGGATTATTAAATGATATGAAAATCTTGTTTTTTCATCAATGATGGAAAGAACAAAGATTTTTATACCATTTCAAGCAGTTATATATTATTTTCATAAAGCAAACCGTCCTATTTAGCTACTATTTAAGTTTCTAATTAAGTGGAAAAAAACTAACATCAAATTTCATAAAGCTAATGCAAAAATTTATTTATAATTTAGTAAACAAACGCAAAAACCAAAACAAAAAACATCATTAAATACGTGAAAAAAATGCATATAATGCATACATAATTTTAAAACAAAATTCCTAAGCATCAAATCTTCAAAAAAAGCATAAAGAAATACTTGATTTAGAGAAAGGAAAGGCAATACTTGCCTTTCGGACAGGGAACTTTTTTAAAAAAGGTTTTTTTTAACTAAATCGACTTTAAATTTTTTAAACATTTAGAACTAAAAAATTTTTGTATATATTTAAAAAAGGTTCCCCTATCTATTCAATTCCTCGTCTTTTTTATAATCTATATAGAAATTTTCATGCAAATTGGATGTGTTTTAGTACTTAGGAAATCATACCTTCAAAAGCTA